TGGGGTGGCCAGAACAGGGGATGCGGGAGTGGGGTGGGCGTGGGGATCCCCGCAAGACCGAGGGCGCCGGGTTGTGGGGCCGCGGAGAGCCGGGTGGCAGGCTTCCCTCAGCAGAGCGCGCGGTCGGACGCCGAGCCTGTTCCTCCGCATCCCCCTGGCCCGCGGGGCGTGGCGCCGCCTGGGTCCCACTGCAGGGCCCGGCGGAGGTGGGGTGTGGCGCCCCCTGGTGGCCCACTGCCGCTCCGCCTGGCTCCCGCGCCGGGCGAGACGCCGCTCTCTGCAGACCTCAGTGCCGAGCCTTCCGGGCGCGTGCCTTCCCGGTGGAAATGAGAGAACAGGGGCCAAGACGGCAGCCCGCTGTGCCTTAGGTCCCCCGTCTGTGAAATGGCGTGCTGATTGCATCTCATAGGGCTGTGGTGACGATTGAAGGTGCCATCTTACGCAGAGCACTTAGGACAGTGTCTGAGCCCTCAGCGCACCTGAGCTATTGAAATTTGGCTTCAAGAGCCCTTCTGGAACCTGTGTGTCTGGAGAGGCGGCTCAGGTCAAGGAGTGAGACAGAAACAGTGTGAAACCTGCTTCTGTCCTTCCCCAGTGTGGACCCAAGGGAAAGCTTCTGCTTCATCCGAGCTCTCAGTTCCTCATCTGTAAGCTGGTGGTCGTGAGGTGTAATGAGGACCAAGGTTTCAACAAACGTTGGTCCCCACATGGGACCCTTGAGGTCACTTTTATGGATTTGGTGTCCATAAAAGGGGATGCCTGGTGTACTGCACACTGATGGACCACAAAGCAAAGAGAAGGGTGTTAGCAACAGATTGGGGGTCTCCACAGATGCCCCTTTAAATTAGTTGCCCCATTCTGCCCTGAGATGGAGACTTTCTGACTCCTAGCTCCAAGCCTCCAGCTCCCAGCACCCAGATGGGGAGAGTGAGGAGGTGGGAGGGCATGGAGCAGCTCCCATCCAACCCTGGGCTGGGGCTGCCCTGGAGCACCAGACAAGAGGGAGGCTGGACACGCGTGGTTCCTCCAAGCATGCAAGGTGGGGCTCCCTGTGAGTGTGCTGGGCAGGGCTGGTGTGTGCTCGGAGTACCGAGAGGACTGCTCACGAGGGTATGGCGTGGCCCACTCAGGAGCCCCTTCCCGGTGTAGACTCCAGGAGGGGACCCTGAGCTAGGAGTAGCTTCTAGGACTGCTTGGCTGGGGCTCTGAGGCCCTTCTTCCGGGCCCTGAGTGGGAAGAGGTGGGCATGGGCGTTGTCCCAGAGCCAGGACCAGGCTGGCCCCACCCCTCGCTGCCTGGTGTAAGCCAGCCCTCAAGATGCTCCAGGAACCTCGATGCCTCTATCGGCCTTCCCTCTGCTCTCCTTCATGGACCCTGTGTGCAGTGAGTTCTCAGAGCTTGCACAGGTTTTCCTGCTTCTTTACCTCTCCCTGGAACTTCCTCTCTGCCTGGAGTCTCTCAAAAGGCAGTCCATCCCACAAGACCAGAATCTAGCCCCTTCTCTGACCCCTCAACCAAATGAGCTCATAGCACTTGTACTTTGCCCTCTGATAAGGCCTTTTTCTTGCTCCTAATTATATGACCTTAAAGGGCAGGGACCATGCGTTTGTCATCTTTTGTCCTCATCTACTTCAGGTACTAAATGAATAAACGAAGGCACCAATGACAACTGGAAGGGGCCTCATTTTCTCCGTTTGTAGGTGGGATTAGTCATGCTGCCTTCCGGGGTTGGCTTCCACTGTGGATCAGCTCATCCCCTCCTCTTCAGGGAGCCTGCTTGGCAGCTGTCCTTCTCTTTGGCTCCTCAGCCTCCCTGATCCTTTGGCCCTAGCAAATCTCTCCCATCTCAAGAGAAGCTTTCCCTGACTCTGCATCTCTCTCAGCCAGCACCCAGTCTCTGCGTCCTCTGAGCCAGCCTTCTCTCCCACCTCCCCATCCCTCTGCAAACGGCCTATGGGCTCAGCCCTGCCTGGAAAGCATCTCCTCACCTTTTGGGACCCAGCATTGATGCCGCCTCCTTTGGAAAACTTTTCCCGACTGTGCCTCTCCTCCCACCACAGCCTGACAACGCTGGCTGAAGTGTCCCAGAGAGTGCCTGTGTCCACCCAGCTCGCCCCCTGGTGGTAGAGGATTCTAGTGCTTGTCCACATCTGCTTTTTGTCTCTTCTGAGCTCACAGGAGGACTATCCTTCCCCACCCCCCTGGCAGTTAGGCAGGGACTTGTGACTACTTCTGGCCCATGGTCTGGGAGCCAGAGGTGAAGTGTATTACTTCTGGGCCAAAACACCTACTTTGCAGCGCAAGACCTTCAAGGACTCTCCGGCCCTGCCTCATCAATCCGGCAGCATGTTATGAAATGGAGGTACCTCGGGAGCCCAGCAGACTGCATTACTGAGCCACCATTTGGAGGCCACTGCCCGGGAGAGTCACCCAGACCCGCAGTGGACTTTCGATGAGCAAGATACAAACCCCTGCTGTGTCATGTGACAGATTGGTGAGGTTTGTTACCGCCGCATAGCCAAGCCTGTCCTAACTCAGTTACGAGTTAAAGGAGTTTGTGAAATGAATGGAGAATTTGGTAAACGCTAAAGATCTGTGCACATTTTGGTCACTATTATCGTCATCAAGGTGTAGCAGGTGCGTGGGGGGCAGGGACATCAGCAAACTGGGGTGACCCCTGTGTAGTGTGGCGACAATGCAGGGGTGGGGATGGGGGGCTGGAGGGTGGGTGAATGGGCAGGGTGTGTCACAGGAGGAACAACTTTCTCTCCTTTATGATTTACCAAGGGCTTGTCCAAGACCTGTTTACATATTTAATTTCTGATGAAAGGTTATAATGAATTGGGTGCTCCTGGCAGGAGACAGACATTTCTCCCAGGGATTTAGTTCCTGTGGTTGTAAAAGAGAGGATTTCTCTCTTGGATTTACAGAGTTTCTCTCTGTCTCTGTCTCCGTCTCTCTCTCTCTATTACACACATGCACAGCCCCTGCCAATCTCTCTGGGAATCTGTAATATATTTAATATCAATTTGATACTGACTGGATTTAGCCCCAGCTTAACTGCATCTCTCCATCATTGAGAGTGGGTAGAGAAAATCACAATGTGGCTTTGTTTCCTAAGCAAGAATCTGCTAACCCCTCACCAGGTGGGGGTGTTCCCTTGAGGGTCTGTCTGTGGGCAGCTCTCTGGGCCTTTTCTCCTGAAACCTTTTCCTCTTTGTCCCTTTTCTCCACGACTCTCCTTTAGCTCATGGTGCTATAAGGCTAAATTGGCCCGGGTTAATGAACAGTTATGCTGACCTTGCTGCTTGGATAGAAGGTGGGTAAATGAAATACCACCTGGTTCTCCCGCCTCCATGACCCACCTCCCCCGGCCTCAGTGGATGCCCGCCCCCCACCCTCCTATGAGCCAGTGAACTTCAGTGGGAACAAAGGGGCCTCCCCCCAATTCCAGAATGACTCAGTAGGGGGGCTGGAGCTGGAAGTGGAGCCGACAGAGAGGCTGGACAGCATGGTTTGAGCCCAGGTCTGGCCAGTTATTATTTGCATGAAGTTGGCCATAATGGTTACTTCCTTGATTTCAGATTCCTTATCTTCAAATGGGGCCTTAAGACCAGTCTGGCCTCCATCATGGGGCCAGTGGGAGGATCACCCCAGGCTCTGGGCCAAAGGATAACTTATGGAGACACAGTGTTTGATTCTCGCTCATTCTCCCTCTCCTATCCAAAAAGGTTCAAAGAAGGATGGAGTGAAAACGTTCCTGCAGACCCTTCCTTTCCTGGCTTTTTCATTCAGCCCTTGAGGGACTGGGAGGGGGAGTGGAGCAGAAGGGTGGGCATCCTAGGACTGGATAGGGGAAGAGGGCATAGCTGGGGTGTGCACAGGGAGGCGGCCTTTACTCTGGGCTCTGGCCTCTGCAGGGTTTCCAGGCTCAGGGCAGAAGCAGGACACTAGGGGGCCTCAGACTGGGAAGGGACCAGAGACCCACAGTGGCAGGACCCAAGGACCTGTGGAGGGCTCTGGGAGCCAGACCGAAAGATGGTTGATGTTGAATTTCCAGGTAGCCAGAAGGATAAGGGCTTGAAGTCAGACATAACTGATTTAAAGAAATAACTGTGACGCATTTTGCACTCTCAGGCTTGTAGACTGAGAATTCCGCTCTCGGTACTGGAAGAACCTTGTATAAATGTGAGCTCTTGGACAGTTTCTTATGCCCGCCATCTCCTGATTGCAGCAGCCCAGGAAATCAGATTTGTAGGCACCCCTTCCCCTTGTCATCCTTCACTCACATTTGAGCTTACCCGAGGCCAGTCGAGCGTGTACATTTCTCAGTGGCCTAAGCCCAAGTGGGCGTCCCTGAGGCTCTGCTGCAGTGACGACCAGCCACATAGGGTGGGACGACCACCCACATCAGCCTTACGTGAGGGGCCAGTTAAAAGTGCCACTCCTGGGCCCCCTCAGACCCACAGAAATAGACTCCAGGGCTGGTGGAGGGCGTCGGGAATCTGCATTTTAACACCATCCTCCATGGGAGTCTAATACTCAAGGCAGTTTGCTAAGCTTTTCTCCAGAAGTGGAACGAAGGTGACACCCTTTTTTTCCCTGCTAGCAGTTAGGAGGAAAGATTTGCAGTGGCAGCGGTAGTGTTGGCTGTGACCAAGTGATCAATGATGATTATGGTATTAATTCTGTTTTGTACCGTGGACTTAGCTGTTTGTGTCCAACCTCACTTCTGGATATAAACTCAAGGGCAGGGATCAGGCCTCCTGAGGACCCAGCACTGTGGGCCTTTGACTGCTACCTGCAGAAACTCCACCGAAGGAACAAGAAGCACCTGCTGCCTGCTCTGTACCAGGCTGATGGGCTGAGAGTTGCATGACCTCTGATCCCCATGGCCAGAGGCCCCTGAGGGCTATGGAATGGGCACCTCCTCTGGCTAGAAGGTGCAGGTTCTGTCTGCTCTGACAGACATGACAGTACAAATTCATGACCAAGTTACATCAATAGCAAAATTATAATATATTAATAGCAATATCATAATAGAATAAAGGCTTCGGAGGGCAATCAATCTTCCAGAATCTCAAGATTGGCATTCACCATTCGTAAGCTCAGTTGAAGGCAGAGCCTTCAGAATTTGGTTAAATTGCAGCAAGAAGGACCAGGGTTAGCTGTGGGAATCATTTTCTAAGCAGGACCACTTTAAATGCTGAAACTGGCCCCTGAGGTTGCATGGAGCTGTGCTTCCTGAGTGAGATCTTTGGAAATAAGCCTGGTGGCTTTGGAAATAAGGCTGTCTGTAACAGTGGCTTTCACAAAGACTTCAGTCTCATGGCAGTTTGGCCGTTGACATAAATTTTTTGGTTTACCACCATATGAGGCCTTTCTGGAGGTGGTTTCTGGTATGCTTTGGGAGGGGTCTTCCAAGGAGTGGCATTCAAGAGATCCACGTGTGGCAGTGACCAACACCCAGCTGCCCCGGAGGACATGGTGAGTCAACTCTCTCTCGCAAAGGGCCAAGTGCAGGGTCAGTCTGGTGGGGCATGGATGGTCAAGATCCTGTTGACAGTCTTCTTGCTGTGCCTCCCCCCGCTGCCCACTGAGCACACTCTGGGAGGAGGCCGTGGTGTCGATCGAGGGAGGGGAGGGGAGATCTCAGGGAAGCTCAGTGGAGAACCAGGTACTAGCACTGCCTTGTACAAAGTTGGTCTCCAATAAATATAAGATTTGTTGATGAAAGGCTTCTTTTGTTGGCTGTCTACCACACGGCAGCAGGGTCCCTCCACCCAGTCCCACAGAGAGCGCCCACCTCTCTAGAGGCAGTGAGTAGAGGCTGAGAAAATGTTAATGAACACAGGTGGGTTTGAAGCCAGGAAAGTCAGCCTCACCGGCCTCTGTTCTGTGGGCTGCAGCTTGCCATCCAGCATGGCAGCATTTGACATTCCCTTTGCTTCATCATTCGTTTTGCTGACATCCTGGACTGCCTCTGTTTATTCCACGGCATACAAGCTGATGTCCAGACAGAGAAGTCCGTGTGAAGCTGCCTCCTCTGCTCCCAGGGAAACTTGGGGAGGGTCTTCCCATCACTCTGTGATGAGGGGTCTTGTCCCCACATTGTGGGGGTGGGAGGGTAGCATCATGACCATTTCACAGCCTCCCTCAGGTCTTCACTATGCTGTGGCTTTCTTAGTTTGAAACGTACCCCAAGAAAGAGAGAGAAACATGCACAGACCCATGTATAGAAGGGTCTAGAGTTAATGTGAACAGCATTTGGATGACCCACCCTTGGGGTATCTTAGTCCTTTCTCTGGTGCCTGAGAGTGGGTAATTGAGAGAAGACCAGCTGGTCATACTTCCCAACATGGCAGCTTCAAAAGTGGCCTCCGGGGGTAGGAAGCGAGGAGCTGCAGGGCAAGGAGCCACCGCCTCTTGGGTTCTGTGCTGATGCTGAACCCAGACGCAAAGGGGACTATAGTCAGGCTCCCCTTCCCTTAGCCTGGCTCTGGCCATTAATAAGCCCTCTCACTCCCTTCTTCCTCTGGGCAGATGCCCCCTTTTCTGTCTCCCCTGAGGAAACCACCTACAGGACTGGTGAGGGGCAGGGGCCGCCTCAGTGGGCATCCTCACTGGAGCACTCAGCACTGAGGAGAGCCTGAGCATCTGAAGGAGCCAGGGAAGCCCTGGCCCTCCAGCTCTGTGCCCGCCCAGCCCAGGTGCGGAGCGGCCCTAAGGACCTGAGGGGGCTTTTGGGAGGCGGAGGCAGGGAAGGCAAATGGTGACTGGGGTTTTCTTTCTTATTTAAAAAACAAAAGGGAATGACGTGTTAACAATAGTAAATACAGCAGGAGTGGAGGGACAGGGTCTACTCTCTGGAGCAGGGCGGTGGCCTGGCCAAGGGTCAAGGGTCAGATGAGGCCCTCAGACTTTTCCTGCACATTGTACTCCTTGTTCTTCTTCACTCGCCAGCTGATGAAGAAGAGCAGCAGCGCGCCCAGCGCCTTGTAGCCCACCTGCATGCCCAGGTACCTGTGGGGCAGGAGGAGACAGGACCACTGAGCGGGTGTAGAGGCTCTGTGGCCCGCTCCCAGGGCCAGGGCCACCAGGAAGAGCAGCATTATTCTCAGAGTGGCCCAGGGAATGTGTGGTCACCACTCAGGTAAGGATCCATCACCACCCAGGTGGGGACCACTTTCTTCATTCCTTTGACCCAAAAGGGTACAGGCCTCGCAGGGAGTAGGCACAGACTCCTAATCCAGTGGTCCTCACCCCTGCACTGGTGCCCCCAGAGGGCCAGAGGCAACACTGCAGCCCCAGCCAGCCTGAAGGGTCCTGATGGCCCAGCACCGCCAGAAGGAGAGGGGCACCTTCTCCCTGCCCTCATGGTCAGCCCCTCTCCGGGCCTTCTAGGCCACTCTCACAGCATTTCCAGCCCCCGTCCAGCCCCCAGAAGCCCACTCTCCTCACTCTTTCAGGTCTGTGTGATGATGGCAGCAGGAAAGGTGGCTGGAAGGGGTGTGGAACTCAGTGGGGCTGCAGCTAGGCTCAGGCCGGCTGCGGCAGGTTGGGTCCCCCGCTCTTGGCCTCTGACAGGAGCCGTGACGGGGCCACCTCTTTCTGAGCAGTGGGAGGCTGACCTGGCACCATCGTCCACAGCCACAGCCTGTCCCTCGGACTCCAGCCATGCCCCTTCCCTTTGACAAACTTCTTTCTGCTGCTGTCCCTCCCGTGGGCCTGGGGGGACTGCAGATTGGGGGCCACCTCAGAGCAGCTCCAGCGTCTTGTTACTTGGACGGCTCTCTGTGAACCCTGAGATGCCCATCGTGGTGACTCCCTGTCCATGGCAGCACCCTCCATCCTCTCCCTCAGAAGCCCGACAGCCCCACTGTAGCCGCCAGAGCCGATGACTGCCCTTTGCTCAGGCCTGGGGCCTGGCCGCCTTGACACACACCGTGCAGGGCCCTCACCTGTCTCTGAGAGCGTCATTGTCGTAGTAGGCACAGGCCCCTCGCCTGCCTGAGCACTGCAAGTTCCACCGGATGCAGGAAGAGTCGATGGCAAGGCCGTAGAGGGCTGGAGATGGCAGCCAGGCTGGCATCAGCGGGAAGAGAGTTCAGAGAGCCCAGGTCACGCGGAGCTACCAGCAGAGGCTCCTGGCAGGGTGGGGAGCGAGCCCTCCCAGCGCCCCTGCACGGTTCACACGTATGACAACGGCTCTGGCCCACCCCTCGGAACCACATCGACTTTGGAAAGCAGAATAGCTTTCCGTGAAGCCTGCATTATTCTTTCACTGGAGGCTTAGAAGAGAAAAGCGACCTGAGCCATCCTTGCAGGGCAGAGGGAGTCACAGAGGTCACCTTGGTGCCTGCTCAGGCAGACAACATCGTTCCCACACTTGGGATTGGCCCCAAGTGGAGATACGCTAACCTTCACTGTGTAGCGGGAGGCTGTTAGGCATCGACTCCTAAGCTCTCACAGCAGCCGGGAGGCGGGTGGGTGCCTTCCCTTTAACGAGGAGGAAGGTGGACTTGGCTAGCTCCCTGTCGCAGAGCCAAGAGGGGTCAGCGCTGGACTCTGAACCCTAGTTTATAGGGGTTCGAATCGCATGTTCTTCCACCACACCAGGCTGCCCTGCTGGCTTACACAGCACCCTCAGAACACCCCCAATACCCTGGCTGCTCAGAGCCTCTGCCTCAGGCCCCCTGAACGTCCCTGCAGCTGAGTGGTGAGAGCTGGTCCAGCAGCTCGTATCCCTTAGTGCTGGTAAATATTCAGGACTGCCCCGTCTCATCAGATGCAGTGCTAGGCAGTCACTGGACTGGGCAGGGGCTTGTCTGGGATCCCTGCCAAGGTCAGCCCATCCCATTCTCAGAACCACTGTGTGAGAACAGCCTCCCAGGCTGTTTAAGGCCCTGTGAGAAGCTGCTTCCGGAGGAAAGAGAGGCAGTCTTCTGCTTGTGGCTCCACACATAAGTGGAACCTTTGAGAACCAGCCTCCACTCAACCCTGCTCACTCCCAAGTCTCTAGGTAACGGGGGATGAAAACTGGCCACGAGACTGACCTCCAGTGATGCTTCCCTAAATAGAAATGCAGTCCAGAGGAAATTTCAATCAAGTCCCAGCAGGTAGTTTTAAACTTGCTGGGGTTTATAGGTACGAAGACCTTTTTCCTAACCTGGAGTGGAATTGCTTTCTTGGGTCATAAACAGAATCCTTCCAGGCCTGAGTTTTCTAACTGTGGTCCCACATGGAGTTATCTGAGCTCAAGTGAAAAAAGAAAGGCAGCGTTGCTTTGAGCAGTGGGAGAGTCGTTTTTCAGGCCGCTGGAGGAAGCAGGGCAGGGCTCCTCAGAGCCCATCCTCACCGCTGGTTGGGCTGGGCAGAACGCAAGGTTTCCTTCCCAGCGGAGGTCTCCGAGGAAGTTATAAATGGTAAGTTATAAATGAAAATCAGGAGCTGTGATGACAATCGTGCCTCTGCCACCAGGACAGGGTAGATCCTGCCGCCCTGTGTCCTCTGTGCTTGTAATACAGGCCAGAGGGGCAGGGTCTGAAGAGGCCGTACTGGGACGAGAGGAGCAAGTGGCCCAAGACTAAGGAATCCCACTGAAAAAGTTCATTCCTCGTCATCTGAACGCTTCACCCAACCTCGGTTGGAGAGTGCTCTGCAGAGGCTCCTGCTCAGCTGGCCCCGGGAGGGACATCGCCAACACACCCCAGAATAATGGAAGCCATGGCAGGGCGAAGTGCAGACCTGGCACTTACATACATAACAATAATAACGCACAGTAGGCTCTGCAGGGATTTTGGCGTTGAAGGTCAGAAAGCACACCTTGATAGTAAGTCAAGTCTCTCCACTGCAAACTCCATATTCCTCACTGCAGTTCGTGTCCACTAATAAATACGTCCTCAGTTGAATTCCGTCCCTTTACTTCATTTACCTGTCACTGCAAGGGTCTCCATCTTAGAGCCTCGTGTCTAATCTAGCGCCTGGATGTGTCAAGAAGGGACAGGCCAGCACACGCCATCTGGGAAGAGGCCCACAATGTGCCCCTTCCCCCCAGTCCACCCGGGAAGGGCTGGGGGTCCCCTGCTCCCTGCAGGTTGCTCGTCCTCCCTGAGGGGCACTGCTGACCGCTTGTGCACAGCTCCATTCCTCCTGGGCTCCTGGCTGCTTGAGGGCAGGCAGGGTTTGCCGCAGAGGCCCCCTTCTGAGAAACATTTGCCAAACAGAGGTAGGAGGAGTGAATTTTGTAAAACGGGAGGGACGCCAGGGCTGGGCTCAGCTGCTGTTCTGGCTGGGACAGGAATGCAAGGTTATGTTCCTACAGCGCGTTCTTGGAGAGAGATTAAAACACACCTGCTTTCAATTCGCTGTTAGGTATTCTCAGCTGTGTCCACTTTCCATTTTCCTTACATAATTTAGTTTGGACTTAATATCATAGATGGAATCTTTCCTAACCTCAAGTAACGGGGAAACCGCCCATATAGGGTTTTGGCACTGGCTGTTGTGTTGACTATGCACAGCTTCTCTTTACAACAGAGGTGAGAGAGGGCTTTCCCCACCCCCACCCCACACCCCCTAAGCCCCAGATGCCCCCTGCTACTCCTCAGGAAGGGGGCGCCTCAGACACTTACCCAGCAGGCGCATCAGCAAGAACTGTACCCCAATGGCAAAGGACTTTTCATCCTGGTTCACCACACTGAAAAGGAAGACCAGGGTCAGGGCTGTGCCTTCCCTGAGGCAGGGGCCGCCAGCCTCGGAGCGTGTCAGAACCTGCCCTCACACGGCCTGACTGGATCCTCCCGGGCCAAGTGCTCCTGTCGTTTATGTCAGTGGTTCTCAAAACATGATCGCTGGACCAGCTGCATCAGCATCTCCTGGGAACTTGTTAGAAATGCAGATTCTCAGGCCCCACTTCAGCCCTAAGAACCAGAGAGTCTGGGCACAGGGACCAGCGATGTGTGTTTTCAGAAGCCCTCCAGGGCATTCTGTTGCACACTCACATTTGAGAACCACTGATCTCTGTGATTTTCAAGGCTGCCCAGGGCCCCCTTCAAGAGGCAGAGGGCAGAAGAGGCTGGGAGCAGAGAGAAGGATGCCGAAGGGCGTGTTTACAGCAGCAGGTCTGAACAACTCCCCTCGAGAGTTTTATAGCAATAAAAGACAGCCTGGTGCAAAGGGTAACTAGGGACCCTTTTGGGCTGTGGGCTTCTGTGTGCAACTGAAAGAATCCCCTACCTAGGGTCAGCTTTGTGGGCGTGTGACCTGTGTGGCCTCACAGGGCCCCACCCTCAGGAAAGCAGTGTTTGGTTTAATTCTTCATTAAAATTCTTGAAATTCTTAATAATTTTGGAACCAGGAGCCTCGCATTTTCATTTTGCACTGAGTCCTGAAAATTATGCAGCCAGTCCTGCCCTTCTGCTTCTTCCCTCAAGAGTGGAAATGTGTTTGGCTGAGGAGGGAAATTCAGAGAAAGGAGGGAGGCTATCTGGAGGTGGTATTGCCAGGCCCTGCCATCCCAGCTGGGCATGGAGCAGAGAGGAAGGATGCCCCTCTACACAAGGTGGGGAGCCAGTCCATAATAGATGCCCCCTTGTCTTGGTCCTTACCCCCAGGCACAGTCTCCTAGATTCTCAACTAAATGGGAGTTGGACACCCCAATTTGACTTCTGATGGAGATCTTGAGCCCCTTCTGGTCTCTGCCAGTGTTAGCCCTGAATTAATGCTGGCTTTCTGACTACTCTCCTTCCTTCCACATTGTCGGTGAACCTTCACTCCCAGCCTCTATTCCCATGCCTAATGGGGGTCCAGGACTGATGCAAATAATGCTTGGGTCACCTACAAAGTCATCCTTGTCTCAGCTTCTTTACACTAAATAGCATCCATTCTCACATCTTTCCCAGTGAGATTTATCCTTAAGCCATTTGGGGATCCTGGGGCATCTTCTCCAGTTTCACTCCACTCCCTTCTAGGAGAGATTGCCTAGGAAAGCCCATCTTGTGGTTGAAATGCTGCTCCTCCTCCACTCCTTCCCATCACTGGGGCTGACAGAAGTCCCCCGGGAGGTGATCTCACAGGGATTGCCTGCCCCCACTGCTCAGGAACTTCCCCAGGAAATGTCCCTAACCTATTCCGTCTCCTCATCATGGCCGCCCACAGATCTTTCTCAGAGTCGAGGGTCCACTATGGTCCATCTGAATTGGGGTACAAGAAGGGAATGCCAATCAAGGGCCTTAGGTGAAAGTGTCGGTCCTTGGAATGCACAGGACCGGGAGCAGCAGAGAAGAGGGTGACCATGGTGTTGGGAGAGGCAGTATGCCGGGGGCTCTCAGCATCCCTACATGTTTGTGTGGAATATGCCAAGAATGCAACGCCCTGACTGCTCTGTTCCTTGGCCGTTTCTCGGTTCTGCAGTTGCAATGAGCAACCTTGAGACAGGAGGTAAAATCTTCCCCTAGGCCAAGAGCAGATTTGGTCTATATAAACAGTGGCTCTCCCATGCTCAGTGTTCCTCAGCTGTGACAAACCCACTGCATGTGAAATGTACACCTGGGCCCCTCCATGTCACCCGTTAGGACTTGGGGGACAAGGATAAATGAAGCAATAGGAGGTTCATGCTGCTCGCTGTGCTGTTAGTAACAAAGCCCTTTGTTTCTGACCCAGGAATCTCCTGTCTTCTGCCAGCATCCTTGAAACAGTAACAGAAACAGGAGCTTGGTAGTGTGCAGGCTAACTTGTAAACAGGGTAAGTCCTAGACCCTGACAAGTGGCTGCTTCTATTCCTTCCTCATCTCCTAGCCTGAGGAAAATAGGTTGTTGACATCTAGCTAGCTGTTAATTATAGTAATTTGGTTAATAATGATAATTAACCAATATGTAGAGCACCTTGTATTTACAAAGCAATTTACCAAAAACTCCTGACATCGATCCTTTGAGGTCAACATCATCGACCCCATCTCATAAGCGCGGAAACTGAGACTCAGTGAGGTTGGCCACACCCTGGGACACTCAGCCAGTGGACGGCAGAGCTGGGCCTTTGACCCTGGCACTGGGCATCCACTCCTACGCTTTCCCCCTCTCTGCTTGTGAGGTTGGTGAGGACAAGGGAGGCAGGCAGGTGGTGGGTGAAGTGCTATTTTTTTGGCTGAAATGCTGTTTTCTCCTTTGCAGACGGTGAGGTGAACGGAGGGTCATTCCCCATCAAGACCTCAGAGGCCCTTCAGTGCCACTGTAATGGGACACCGCTCCCCTCCCGCCCGCCTTGGCCAGCGTCTCCCTCTGACCTGAGAGTGTAGTCCTGGCGCCTAATACACTGGGCTTTTCTCATTTTCATCCTTTCCCTTCACTCTGTCTCTGGAACTTTCCTCATTTTCCTTCCTCAATTTTGTGTATCCAGCTGAGTTCTCCTCACTCTCAGTTCTTCCGGCATTTAAGAATATGTGAATCTACAGGCATTTCCACAATGTGGAGCCAGGCAGCCTGGCTTGCTCAGGCGGCTCAGCCCTTGGCCGGCTCTGCCCTCCCGGGTCCCACGTGCGGAATGGAGGCGCCAATGGGGCTGCGGCACATGGATGGTGCTGGGAGATGCTGAGGCGATGCACAGGTCCTGGTGTGGGTGGGCCCTGGCCCTGTGGCACTGATATCACCTCCAGGTACCACCCTAGGGACACTGCACATTCACGTTCAAAAGACTGAGGGCCAGCAAAGGGAGAAGAGACAAGAAGCCGGCGGCCGGGCCAAAGCCGAGGGAAACGGGGAAGGAAGGCACCCTCACCGCAGGACCATCATGTAGAGGGGGTTGTGGGAGATGCAGGCTATGAGGGCCACGAAGGAGATGAGGAAGATGGTCGGGAGCAGGTAGTGGGCGCAGGGGATGGGGCACGATCCCGTCTTTGCTGAAGCGGATCTCCCGGTCCCCGTCACGCAGCTGCAGTTCAGATAGGTCTAGAAATGGAGAGGGAGGGGAAGGGGGGAATCTGCCGTTACTATTTCATCTCCATACACGTCGAAGGTCTGCTCTTGCCAAAGAGTCCCTCAGGTTTCAACCCCTCTGCTGCCGGGTCCCCTGGGCAGCTGGGTGAGGCTGACGGAGGGTGAGAGGAGACCAGGTGAGGGTTTCAAGGCGCCCCATGGAGCCCACCTCTGACCACTGTTTGGGCGGTAGAAACCGTCTTCACCCAAACCAGTAGTCCAGCATGGGCTGGGCTCCTCCAGCATTACTCCCACGTCAGCACGTGTGGGATTCCACTGCCAGGCCAGGCTCACCCAGCTCAGGACCAGGGCTAGGAGGGCTTGCCTCTGGGCCAGGCCACCCTGTGCCCAGCAGCGGAGGTTTTGTGGGTGGTGGTTTGTGCTGTTCGTGTGTTTACTGCAGGGAGGGTGAAGGACGCATAAATAGGAGCAGACAGCAGTGGGAACACAATGGAATGCACCAAGCCCCCCCCTCTGTCGGGCCTTTGCCAGAGCTTCCTGCCTGAGAGGAATTCCTCCTGTCTGTAAAGGGCTCGAGAGAAGGAGGTCCGTCTCAAGTCTGCAAGTCCATGTGGCTCCACTCTGCTGTACAGCTCGCCTTGGTGGCCACTGCCTGTGTCAGATGGTCTTCCCCTTCCCTCTCTCAGTGTATGATAGACTAGCCTATGGCCATTTAAGTGTCAAAGCAGTTATAAGGCCATGGTTGGAAATAATGAGCTAGTGTGCTTCCTTCTACCAGACAGCAGGAACTATGCATGCTCTTCATTTGGCTGCTAGGAAGCTCAGAAATAAGTCATATACAATATGGCTGCTACTTTCCTCCATCTGGATTTTTTAAATGCAGATTTTTTTCCTTATAATTTACTATTTTTTCTTGATAGTATGCTAATGGATATATTTGTGCTGTTGTTGGAAACTTGTCAAGATTATTTCTGGAAGTAGATGAGTCAGAGGTGAGTAAACAAAGATAAGAAAACCACAGAAGCCACGACAGACACCTCCATCTAGAGGGCAACTGAGAGAGCATCTTGTTCAAGCTCCTTGTGCCCCCTCTGCCCAAGAACCCCACTCCTCTGCCCACAGAAGTGGCAGTGGCAGCAGCCCTGCCCGGTCCTCTCAGAGGAGGATGGGAAGTGGGGACCGGCCTCGCCCACGCCCTCCACACAGGCTGAAGGGGATGAGGCGCACTCCTCACCTTACGGCCTCCTTAGGGGAACTGCACAGACTTCCTATCACTCTTAGGAAAAAGAACATCCAACTCCTAAGCCTGGCCTGCCCGGCTCTGGCCCCTGCCTGCTCCCTGGCCCGACTGGGCGAGACATTCCTCCTCGCTCAGCGCCAGCCCTGGCCTTCTCTTTTTTCTCCTACGCCCAGCTCACTCACTCCCTGGGACCTTGCACTTGCTGTTCATTTACCCAGACTGCTTCACTCCCATGTCTTCACGGAGTTTCCTTCTTCTATTCGTTCAGTTCTAATGTCACCTCCTCAGGGAGGCCCCCCAGGCACTCTCTGGCCATTAAATCTCTTCACGGCACAGGTTACTTTCTAAAAGATCTTGTGCATTTATTTGATAGAATGCAAACTCCACGAGAGCAGGACTTGTCTGATGGGCTCACCGCCGACTCCTCGGCACCCTTGGCCGTGCCGGGCGTCCACTAAGTATTTGTTGAATAACTGATCAAACGACTCAAGTTGGTTTCCCGCTGGCTGATCCTAGGAGGCCAGAAGCCATAGCGCTCAGAGGGCTGTTAGGACCTCACCAAGTGAGCATGGGGAAGGTGGCTGGTGGCCAGGAGACACCTGACTTTGAATAGATGTGTCCCTGGACTGAGGCAGGGCTTGGGTTCTAGCCCCAGATCTGCCCCTAAATAGCTGCACGGCTTCAGGCCAGTTAGGTGGCCACTCCTGGGACCTGAGGGCTTGACCAAATGCCAAATGCCTCCAGCTCTAATCTTCCAGGTCCACATCACAGAGGACCTTCTGCCCTCAATTTATCTGGGCCTGTCCGTGTGGCTTTCCAGGATGCAGGACCCAGAGATGCCCATTAGGATCCATCAGGACGAGACTCGAAGGCCTCGGCTGAAGGACTGCCTTGGCCTGTTTCTGCTCTGAGCATTGTTGGCCTCAGGAATGCAAGTTTGTTGAACACGGGCCAACCTTTAATTGACTTTGGGATGCAGGGATCTGGTCATGACCTTAGGGAAGGGGAGGTGGAGAGAGGGCGGGTGTGGCCCGGAGGCCAGGATGCTGGGAATGAGCGTGGCATGGGTGGCCCGCTGCCGTCCAGGAGCCTCGGAGCAGTCCGCGAGCGCGCACGCTGCGCGGAGACCTCGTGGGGCTCCTGCTGCGCTTACCTTGGAGGCTGCAGGGCCGATACTGATGTTCTTGCAGCCAGCGTGGCACGGGGAGCGGTACTCCACTCCATTGTCCCCACAGACTGGGTGGAAGATGGTGTCCGGGCACCAGCAGTCCCTGTGGCAGGCGGGGGGCTGTGGCGGTATAGAACTTGATGTGCTGCCAGCAAGACAGGAAATGGGGAATCAGATAAAGCAAGACCAAAGAAAAATCCCTCCGCTCCAGCAGCATGCGCTCCGCCTGGTTGTGTGTCTGTGCGGCTGTTTGTCTTGGGCCAGTGCCACCCTGGGATCAGAATTATGCCATCGGAGCCCACGGGGGATTGGCTGCTGGCCGATGCTCAGAGCACCTCTCCGTTTCTTCTGCCACCAGGAACCCAAACCTGCTACTCATAGTCAGAAAGGCTTGGTGGGCAAACCCTCTCACTGCAGAAGGGGTCAAGACAACCCACCACCTGGCCTCTGATGGAAGAGATGGCGCAGATGCTGTATAAAGGCACAGGCAATAGTTCCCTGGGCTCAGGTTGAGGGACTCTCTGAGGACAAGCTGGGGTCAAGATGGCTCCTGTCTTTGGGCCTTGGTAGATATTGCCCCAGTCACTCCATCCCCCTGAGCTTCAACCAAGGGGATTTCATTGGCTGATCTCACCATCTGCGCCCCCTGCCCTGCCCCATATCTGACATTCATGATCTTTGGGGAGGGTTGGGGTAGGGCTGACAAACCGCAGTCTGGAGCTTTGCTACAATCATCATGATAGTTAACACTAAGAGGGCATCTCTTATGTGCCAGGCTCTGTGCCCAGGGCTTTCCATAAACAGTCATCACAATGACTACAATTGACTATGCTCCTTTGGTGGATGAGAAAACTGCAGATTAGATAAGTTAAGTAATTTTCCCCAACTAATCAAGAGCAGTCCAGAACTGGAGTCCAGTCTGATGACAAAGCCCTGTGCTAAACTCCCAGTGAAGGCCACCAAAGCCCAAAGCCTTCTCGGCTTCTCTCAGCCTACAGTTAGTCTGCAGAGACAAATACAAACAGGGGTGAAGGGGGGTCGCGCTGGGGTGGGGAAGGAGGGGTGTCCTGAGCAGCCCTCCCTTCTCTCCTTCCTCCACCAAAGAGAAAGACAGAGAAAACACCCAGGCTGAAAGGTACAGCATCTCGGGATGTTGCAAACTCACTAGGCAAAATCTAAAAGAAGAGGTGGTTGAAAGCGGCACCCAGAAGAAATTAAATGTCCTTCGCTCAGTCCCCTCCCCTCACAGGGCTCTAAAGCTCTTCCTGCACATGAGGCCAGACTTAACACTTAGGACCATGCTGCTTTATGCAAACCGAAGGTGTGCTTTACCTGCCCTCTTCCTCACCTGCCCTACTTTTTCAAGTCTGCTAGCACTTTCATTGTTCTCTTACAGATCTTTTTAAGTCTCCTTCTCTCATCTTTCTTCAGCAGCTCAATAAGACTCTGTAATTCTAGCTGGCACAGAGCTGATGCTAAACATAGCGTATTTCCTGGTTCCTGAGGCTCACAGCCCTACAGATTCATCCTGAAACCAAACTAATTCATTTTTGGTGCTTCTTAAAAAACAGAACCCTAACCCTGATTGCTGGTGGCCCACTAGGACCCTCCGATTTCTTCTTATACTTGAGCATACTATTCAAGACCTGATTTTCTAAGTAGCCACATAAGAGATTAGATCAAAAAGTGAAAAGGAGAGAAGAGAGTTGAAGAAGCAGAAAGGGAGAAGTATGGCAGTCAGATCCATGGTCTGACCCAAGCAAAGGGTATATTCTCACCCCTCATTCCCATTACCTAGGGGGGTAGACCTCTGCTACAGGCGGGGTGGAGCATCCCATGAAGAAGAGAGGGGCACAGAGGATCATGGAGATGGTGATGATGGTGGCAGCCACGCGGGGAATGGTTTGCAGAGAGAAAACGAAACGCTTCATGAGGATTCCTCCAAACAGCATCCCCAGGGCCGCAGCGGGGAGGTTTACGGCACCTAGAGAGACAGAGAGAGAGAGAGAAAGAGGGAAGCTGGTCTGGGTGCACAGGCCTGGGAGTGCGTGTGGGCCCAGACACTGAGCTGGACCATGGAGAAGGCAGCATGGCTTCCTGAGGGAACATTTGATGTGTTCAATGGCAGCAGGAGTAGCTGACATTAATTGAGCATATACAGTTTTCCAGGCACATCTACAGAGTTATCCTGACAGAGAGGATTGCCCTGCCTGTGCAAAGAATGAAGAAAGAAGTGGGGCCCTTGCAGCCACAGGGATGTGGGCTGAATGCGTTTATTTATGTGCGTTTATTAAGCAGCGTTCCTTACCTGGCCCCTCAGTGCATCCTCGCTGTGACCACATGGGGTTAGCAAGGCACTGGTGGTGCCCTCTGCCTGATGTGCTAATTAATTAGGGGCCAAAGGCTAGAGGGATGAGGTCCCAGCCAAGGGCCACACAGGAGGTTTGGAGTCACGCCCTGACCACCTTGCCACATTCCTATGGTCAAGCTCACTGTGGATTGGGCCCAATAATTTACTTGAGTCCTTGGTGAGAACGCATCAGTGCTTCTCAACCTCAGCTGCAAAAGACCCCGATGCTCAGCCCCACCCAGAGATTCGGCTTTCACTGATTGAGTGTGGGGCCTGGGCATCTGTATTTTTTAAAGCTCTCCAGGGGAACCTCAAGTGCAGCCAGGGTTGAGAGTCACTGGATCACGTGCTCCTCACCCACACAAATGTATTCAAGTCCTTGGAGAAGATGGGAAAACCCAGAAGGCATTTACCTAAGTCCAAACTCAATCTTCTCTCTTTCCTCTGCTGCCCCCGATAATGCCAGGGCCTCTGGGAGGCTATCAGGCTTCCAGCCCATCTGACCGGGAAGAAGGCAGCCCCCAGCCTCCACCCACTCCTGCCTGGAATGATAGCAGCCCCAGAAATCTGCCAAGAACATTCTAGATTGCCAACCAGGAAAAATGTCCTTAAAATTCTTTCTCCGGGGCAAGTCCTCCCCTGACTCCTGTCTGTATCCGGTCTGGCCTCTCCCGTCCCTGGATGGGCGGCAGGAGGGCTGGGCCCGGCTCAGGCAGAGACGCTCAGCTCCTGGGGACCCACCGATGAGGAAGTTGGCATAGGCCGCGGAGGCACCATACTGCTTCTCCAGGAACTTGTTGAGGAAGGTGGAGAGGCCAGCAATGACGGAGGAGAAGGTGCACTGGGCCAGGACTGTCAGCATGAAGAGCGGGTTCATCAGGAGCTTCAGAAAGATGCGGGGAAACCCTGCAAAGAGACGGCCGTCAGGGGCCAGGCCTTTGGGGCATTCGTCACCGTGAGAATGGCTGCTGCCCTTCCACCTCCTTCCAGGCAGCTCTCCTCTCTTCCTCAGGGCACAATCCAAGGTACCAAGATGTTCAGGGGACAGTCCAGGGGCACACAGCCACTCAGACCTCCACTCAACATGCTCATGGGCTGGATAAAATGAGGATGTGCCTAGAAGAACTCAGGGGGAGGGTGGATAGAAATAGAACCAGCACTGGGACGCTTCTCCTCACGTGATAGCCACCTCCACAGGAAGGGAGGAGAGAGGAGAACATGGGGGTCAGACTATGGGGGTGGGGCCGACTTTGCTTGAATTTGGGTCTCCTGGAACCGCAAAGAAGCAGTCCCCAGGACCCCTGGCAAAACCCCTCCTCGGAGATGGGCCAATCACAGACCACCTGCTCTTACTGCCCCTTACCACACACGAGACCATATGGCCTGGGGTATCCCCTGACCCCCCTCCCCAAGCCAGCCCACCCAGGGCTTTGCCGGGTCAGTCAGTTACGTTTAATGAAATCCATCAGGGAGCCTCTTGGCTTGACCTCCTCCATCTTCCTTGCCCCGTTCACTATGGCAGGAGACCTCTGAAGGCAGCAAAGGGGGTGAGTGTTAATGGCCCAGGCTCCCTGCAGCCACCCTTCCCTGGGCCCTTGACCCTCTGGTCTTGGGGGTTCTGGGCTGGGCGGCAGTGAGCTGCCCCAGGTGTGTGTATGTGTGTGTGTGTGTGTGTGTGTGTGTGCGTCCAGAGAAGGCTCATTTGAAGCAAACACCACCTGCGTGTCAGTGAGCCCCGTGCTTTGGCTGCCGACCAGAAAGCATCCATGCCAGTGCCTCCCAAGATACCTCCGGGCACGTGATATCACATCTAACTTTCCCATGACTGATGCCAAAAGGGGTCTGACTGGATCTCACCCCTTGTCTGTCCATCACGGCTCTGCTTCTTCCCTGTCCTCAGATTCCAGGGGTGCTAGCTTCTGGGACACTCTAGTCTAGCATGACCTCTTTCTAGCTCTCTCTTTATATCTCCACTATGGGCTCCCCGCTTCCTTCTGGGCCCAAAGTTGAGTCCTTTTAACTGCTGTTCTTTCCTGGCCTGTGTTCTGTGCAACTCCCCTCCGTGAACTCGCCCACGTCTTCTGAACTCATCAGCGACAGCTCTGGACCACCAGGCACATGCAAGGGCCCTGAGCTCTGACTCTGTCAGGATCCTCAGGGGGCTGCGTCGCCAGGCACAGGAGCTCCCAGTAGTGCACACTCCATGTTGGGCACCATGCCTAGCGTCCCACATGCACCGTCCCATTCCTCACAGCCTTGGTCTGAGACAGGAACTCTGTCTCCAGTGTTTTAAAGGAGAGGAAACTTGCCTAAGATCACTCAGCCAGCAGAGCTGGATTCAAACTCAGAACCACCATGATGTGCTGGCAGCTTCTGAAATTCTTCCTCAAGACAAGCTGGGGCTCTCCCATCACTGCCCCTCCTCCAATTGCTGGGCCTGGGTTTCACTGCTGGACATCAAGCTCTGACTCTGGCCCGAAACCTGGATGCAAACTTCAGCCCCTCTCCTCCTCCAAGCCAGCTCACTGCTGAGTCCTTCTCGCACCGCCTCCAAGAACGTCTGTCCCTGCCCTTCCCTCAGCTGCCCGGCCATTGCCCTGGGCCTCAGCTGCATCCTCCATCTCTATGCTGGCCTCTTCAGATCTCCAGCCTTCATTCCTTCCTGACCCCCCAACCTCAACCTCGCTGCCATGTTTCCACCTGAGTGGTCACCCAGTCACTGCCGTGTCCCAGAACTTCATGGGATCAGAACAAGTTTCAGAGCCTTCAGGCCAACATCAAAACCCCCACTCAGACTTCTCGTCCCTGTTTTCCATTCTCATCTTTCCCTGATTTCTTTCCCAAACAGAAACGACTAAAAGATGCATGGAAGGGCAGTGCTCAAAATATGCTCCACTCTCAGCTCATACCCACGCTCTTCAGCCCTAGGAATCCCCTCTTACTCTGTCCTTCATGTTCAGACCCAATGGGCTGGATTCAATGCAAAAGTTGATGGCACCAGCTCACATGTGCAGTCTTCATTGGCTCTTAACTCTTTGTTCCAATTTAGACGAATTCTGTGTTTCCCAAACTACGTTCCCTGGAGCTTCCTGATCCCCAAGATGCTCACATGGTAAGGGACCACTGATGAGATACCACTGTTTGGAAATTCACCAGTACTCTCTCCTCTCAAAGCCTCTGAGAGGCTGCATCATGAAACGTGTTTAGATTTCACCCAGAATTTGCTGAACTTGCGGCAGCTTCTCAGTTCTGTTTATTTTCTCCCCACACCTCCCTTTTTTAAACTCCTATGGGTAGAGTCACGGGCTCTCAGAACCTTACCTCCACTCCTCTGGCCATTGTTCGAGGAAAGAAAAAGAAGGGGAAAGACGTGAGAACCAAGAGGGCTGAGGAAATGAGCAGGCCCAGCCACCAGGCTCCAATCCATCGGGGGTCTCCAGGGCTCAAATTAACTGCAGTGAAGAGAAAGCGAAGGACACAAGTATTTGATGGATGAATGCATGATCTCACCTTACTGGAACGCTCTAATCAGGGGGATTTCTTCCCACGATGGAGAAAAGGTAAGCCATGAGCTAGAACCTTGGTCAAGACAACATTCCCTCTCCAGGCCATTCCGGTCTTCCCAGAGAAGGGAGACCACTGCCCATGAAGCAGAGTATGAGAGAATCCCCAGGCTGAAGGGATCAGAACCTTTGCCTCACCTTATTTTATTCCAGCCTTTGACAGGAATGATGATGAAGGCAGCTGACTCTCTCAAGGCTTACCATGAGCCAGACACCAGATCACGTGTTTACATCTGTTATCCCTCTGTGTCCTCTAATCAAGTCTACGAGGTAGGAACTTCCAAAGCATTTTGCCTGTCCCTCTGTCACAGTGCTGGCCTTCCATGCATGGTGGGAGGCTGGGTGGTGCAGGACAAGCTTACAAAGCCCAGAAGTCCTTGCAGGATTCATCTTGGGGCTGGCTCCCTGAATGGTCAGCTCAGTACTCTGCCCTTGTCTATGGACTGTACTTTCTCATTCTAAGATACACAGTGATTTTAGTCCACACCATTCTTTGAAGAATAAGAGCTACACCTGTTAACCTCTCACTATACATCAGGCATCTTCTTTTTAATTTTTTTATGTTTCCTTTTTCTCCCCAAAGCCCCCCAGTACATAGTGGTATATATTTTAGTTGTGGGTCCTTCTAGTTGTGGTAAATGGGATGCCGCCTCAGTGTGGCCTGATGAGTGGTGCCATGTCTGCCAAGATTCGAACTGGTGAAACCCTGGGCTGCTGAAGCGGGGCATGTGAACTTAACCACTCGGCCATGGGGCCAGCCCCTAGCCTCAGGCATCTTCTAATCTTTGCAAAAACTCTATTTTACTATCATTAGACCCATTTTACAGAGGAGGAAACTGAGGTCCACAAAGGTAAAGATACTTGCCCAGGATCACTCAGCCAGTAAGAAGTGGAACCAGGATTAGACCCAGGTTGTCCACTGCCAGTGCCCGCACAGTTAAACATGATGTTATACCCCTTCGGGTGTGAGTCATAATCCATGTGTCTGTTTTATGTAATGCTTCTTTTTTTTTCCTCAAAAGGACTCTTATTAAATCTTTTTTATTTTTAAACAATCAAAACCATCTTAGAATCAAAGGACCATAGAAATATTTTTAATATCACCACCAAGATGGGCAGCTGTGGTGGCAACACCTGAGGCCCTGCCCCAGGTCTCAAGGTTTCCCACTGCAAACTTTTTGAGGGCAGAAAGTGTGTTTTCTTTAGCAGCACCCCTCCCCTGTGTCCAGCACAGGCCTGGTAGGAGGAGGTGTGCGCTGTTCGCTCCTGGCTGTCTGAGGGGGCTGCAGGAGTGAATAAGTGCGTGAGAAGGCGGCGGTGAGCAGCCAAAGCTTCATTCTCTGCCCTGGTTGGCTGGGGGTTGGGGGGAGCCTGCTTCGCGGAACTGGCGATGGGGTGGGCGTCCTCGCACACACTCACCTGTGTCCACCCTGCCGTAGTCCACAAAGATCCGCAGCATGACAGAGCCCAGCAGGTACCCAAAAGCCGGTCCAAACACGGAGATGGCAAATAAGATGGCTGGAAAGGAGAGCAGAAAAAGGAGGCTGAGGGGGATAGAGAGGGTGTGGCAGCCAGGCTCTTTCCCCAGCTGAGGGGTTCCTGAGATGTCACCCCATCTTCCCTCTGACCCTGACAAGTCCACACCTATGGCATTTCCCACAGACAAGGCCAGAGCCACTCAAGATCCTGAGACGTGCAGAACCAAAGCTGTTTCTCCTCCAGCCAGCTGCCAGAGAGATCCACTCGCCAGAAAGGAAATGGCCTCCCCGGCAGTTAAAGATGCTGGCCCAGGGGTGTGCTGGTGGGCAAAGCTTCCTGCAGGTACGATGCTGGTGGCCCTGGCAGGAGCTTTTGGGCCACAGAGCCAGTGGGTGTGGTCTGCCAGGTCTGGGCCGTGGGTCCTGAGGATGCTCACTGTGGCTTGTTCTAAGGGAAGGATTTGGGAAGTTGGATGGTCATCTGCTTCTGCTTTGCATGTGCTTCTTTGAGGCCAACCTGCTCCTAAGGAGATGGCTTGGGAAGACGTGTGCTTCGGCCTGGGCCCAGAGGACTGGACGGCAGCAGTAGCTACTGCAGGTTAAGGAGCTCCTCTGTGCCTGGCTCGGGGCTCAGGTAATCCCACAGCGCCCAGCACACAGATACTCTCAGCCTCGTTCTGCAGGTGGTCTTGGGGCCCTGTGCCCCATTTGCCCAGGATCACATGGCTGGTTGGTGACAGACCTGGCATTCCAACCAGGTCTGTCTGATCCCCACACCTCTGCACTCATTTGCTGTGTTGTGGGGCAGAGAGAGTTAGCCCTTGACTCAGCCCCTCAGGGCCTGAGGAAGTGCCACGTCAGGACCTGCCCCCTCCCTGCAGCCCTCTTCAAGCCGCGACTCACAGATGTACAGGGGCGAGTTGTTGGGCTCCGAGAAGTCGTCCACGTAGGAGATCCCAAACGGCTGAATGGGCACTGTCCCGATGCCTGCCAGCAGCTGGGCAAACACCATGAGCCCCCACATGCTGCTGGTCTCCTTCCGGGGGTCCCGGTTGGGGCTGTGGCATTTACTGTGGGGCAGGTCCTGCTGGGTCCTCTGGCAGAGCTCGGCCTGGAGGTGGCTGCTGTTCCCTGCAATGAGAGTGCACGCCAGTCACACTACCTGTCTCCTGCATCCACCAGCCAGCCTCCAAGCCTGGCCTTTCTCCCAGGCCTTTTGGGAGGGACTCAAGAAACAAAGGTGAGAATGTGGGCTCCCAATCCAGGGCCGCCTTTCACGGGTGGAAGAGGAATCTTTCTCTCCCGGGTCTATATTCTTTCTCCTTTGTGGGTACAGGCAGGGGGCTGAGCATGGAGAGAGCAATACTTTCATCCCAGGAGGAAAGGGTCTCCCACCTGGAAAAGGGGATCCAGGATGAACACCCAGACTTGTGGGCCTTCAGTACCGCTGTGGTCAGCCTCAGTGTCGGGCCCCCACGGGGTGGTCCTCTTTAGCAGGCCAGGGGTTGTTTTGTTCCAAAGAAGACCATGTCACCCCTGGCCTGGGATGCATGGCTCCTGGGTCAACACTCCCAAAGCCCTCACTCCTGGATGAGCCTGGCCTTGCATCACACTGGAGAGCCCAATGCCAAAGGCATTTAGTGTCCTTACCAAGTCTGAGCAAGTCTGTGATTCCCAAGAATCACAGAACTTGGGAAGCTGGAAATGATGTCGAGACCCTTTAGTTCAACCCCTCCTCTTACAGATGGGGAGCTGAGGCTGCATCTTGAGACCCTTGGGTGAGGGTCCCAGAGACCCCCAGTGTGGCCCATGGGCACCATGCTGCCTGTGGCTATAGGAACCTGGCCAGGCTAGACTGTCACTTCCGCGTGCCGCTGTTTTTAATTTGGCCCACACTAAACACTCAGCATTGTCAGCTCTCCAAGGCCCGAGGGCTCTTGAGGGCTCCTTTCCATGAGATCTCTTCTTTTCCTGCCTTGCCCAGGCCAGTGGAAACCAGCGACATCACTGATCTTGTTCTGTGGGTTTGTTCACTTAACACTAATGGGATTTGGTTAGATTCTCATTTGTGGTTCTCCCAGGGAGGGCACGGCCCTGAGCTAGGTGGGCCTCAAAGTCCCATGGAGAGGAAAAGTGGGGGTTGTGGACTAGATCTGCCCCTCACACTGGACTCTGCCCAGGGCTGTTGGGCTCAGGGCTTCCCTGGGCGGTGGGGCTGGGGAGGGGTCTGCCCTCCTCATCATCCTCTCCCCTTCCCCAGACATACACGCTTTGTCCAGCCCGGCCCCGCCATCGCCTGTCCTCTACATTGGTGTTTGTGTAGGACACATTTGAAAACTGCTGGCCTAGGGTGCTCCCCCATCGATCAGGGAGTCTTGTCCCAGGAAATCAAAGGGGCCAAGACGTCTGTCTGGTCCAGGTCGTCCAGACCTGACTCTAGCTTTGTGCAGGGTGTGGAGCACCTGGGCAAGCAGCCAGGCCCTGGCCTTTGGTTAGTGTCCCTCTTCCCTTCCTTCTCCCATCTCACACCCACTATCCCACCTTTCAAGGCAGAATTCAATTAGAGAGTGGTCCAACCTCACCGTGAAATAGGAGGCAGCCTCACAGAATTAGGATGGGGAAGTACCCTTACAACATGGAAAGACAGCTGTAAAGTCCTGTAGGTTCAAAAAATAACTAGCAGTTTGGAGAAGAGTATGATCCCTAGTTTATACAACTTACATGGACTAATTGAATATGCAGAGACAAACTCTGGAGACGACGGCTCTCTCTCTGGGCGATGGGAGTGGGTGTTCTTTGTGTGTGTGTTTGCCTTTATTTTGCAATAGAGCAACAGTAAAATCTTCTAAATTAAAAAAAATTTTCCATAAATAAATATAGCCAGAATTTAACAATGTCTCTCCCATTTCTCATGTCTTTCTTCCACAACCATTGTCCTTCTTTCTGGCCTAGGCCCCAGGCCTGCAAAGGTCTGCATGACACTAGGGCTGCATTTCTCTGCCCTCCCCCCACTGCCTCTCCCCTGTGTGGTGTTGAGCCTTTCTCCCACTTACAGGCTCTACTTTGGAGACCCAAGTTCCAGTGCCAGAACTTTTAAACTCTCGTTTATTGCACAGGCAGACACTGCCGAGGCTGTGACGCACATTGTCTCCTGTTCACAGAGGTTACTGGCCTACCTAAGTGGCTGGTTTGGGACAGAGCTGGCATTTGAACCTGTGTGTGTCTGAATCAAACTCCATACTGAAGTCAAGTCTGAAATGGTCACTTTGAGAAGACACAACACACATTTTTCAGGGATGGAGGAGCCAGGCCTGGGGAGAGTCCTCTGTCCCTAGCCACAAACACAAGGGCTCTCTGATCTCCGTGGGTGGCTGGCACCTTATACTGACTTCCTCCCCAGTAGAGGTGTCCTGGGAAGGGGCTGGCTGCTGGGAGTTTTGCTGAAGTCTGAGACAATGAGATGAAACAAACATACAGTATAAGGAGTCAAGAAATTGGTTTTAGTGAAATAAGCCAGACACAGAAAGACAAATACAGTATGATCTCACATGTGGAATCTAGAACAGTCAAACACGTAGAAGCAGAGAGTAAAATGGTGGTTGAGCCAGAGGCTGTGGGGAGGGAATAATGGGAAGGTGATGGTCAAAGCGTACACAGTTTCAAGTATGCAAGATAAATAAGTTCTGGCGACCAACTCTATAGCAGAGTGCCATAGCTAACGAGACTGCATTGTGTACTTACAATTTGTTAAGAGGGTAGATCTGGTATTAAGTGGTCTTAACACACACAGACACAGACACACACACAGAGTAATAAAGGTGGCAGGAGGAAACTTTGGGAAGTGATAGATAAGTCTATGGCCTTGATGGTGGTGATGGTTTCAAGGGTGTATACTTATCCCCAAACTCATTAAACTGTATGCATTAAACACATACAGCTGTTTACATGTCAATCATACCTCAATAAAGTGGTTTAAAAAGAAAAGAAAGAAAGAAATTGGGTTTAGCCCCAGGTAGCTGTGTGAACTTGAGCAAGTTTCTAAGTCTTTCTGAGCCCCCGCTTCCCTTGAGGCAAAGACCACAAGGTGGCCAGATATGGAGACTCCTATGGGTCATTCACGAGCCAGAAGGTTATGGATCCAGAAAGGGGTGAAGGCATGAAAAGTTGGGCCCCGCTGGGCAGTCGGCAGGTCTGATGGCTGTGCCTGCCCTCTTGAAGGAAGGCTGGTGTGGCTCAGTAACGCTGTGAGGGTCCGATTCGCAGGACAGTCTCTTTATCTGGAAGCACAGAACTGTAAGATGTTCCTGCTGAGAAAGAGACCGTGGGGGCTGTGTAGCCCACTCCCCCGACCCCACTAAGGAATCCTTCTACCAACACTGTCTCGTGTCCAACACCCAGGAACAGGGGTGTGGCGCTGGCAGACTCATCCAGATCCCCATGGGGAGGCCCAGGCAGCCGTGGACAGACAAGGCCAACAGACATTGGAAAGGCTGGACTGGAAGCCTGGGACCTGGGTTCTGGACTGAATCTGTGACTCCGTAGGTCAGTGGCCTTGACTTTGAAAGACCTCAGGATTCTAGGGAGAGGCCAAGCACTGTAGAGGGTGGAGGCTTCTGGAGGTGCGGAGGGGGCAGTGCGGGCTCACTGCTCACTCCCTGCCCTCAATGCGGCAGCCATGCAGGACACCCCAGGACGAGCGTTTACACACGTGGGCTGTGCTGGTCTTTAGAAAAAGTGATGGACGAGTACCGAAACCTCTATGCCCTTCTCAAGACCAGAGGGGCATGTTCAGGAACCAGGGCAGAGCAGGCTGCCCAGCCTTGGAGAGCCCTGCTGGCCCACACTGGCGACAGACCAAACGCAGCTGTGCAATCACTCAAATCGGCACGTACCCTTCTCTGTTCACTGCCCCGTGCCAACTTGGACCGAGCTGATGCATTTCTACAGGCCCATAAATAAAAGGGCTGCTGCCAAGACTTCAAATGGGCATTTCTTTTCAGAAGACTCAAACAAATTTCGAGCATATTTTGTACAGGGAAATAAGCAAAGTTTGAAGTTCCCTAAAACCGTGGGCTGTTGTCACTTGCAAATGTGCTCGGCTAAGCCACCTGTCTGGTCTGTCTAGGTGTGACAGCAGCTCCCTGTCGCATGTTGTCTTTAGGCTACGGGGTGGCAGGGCCAGGTCCAGGCTCTGTGGAGGAGTGGTTTAAAGATCACCTGAGAGCAAACGGCCCAACTGGGAAAGAGGTGCAAAGAACAGGCCCCCACTCCCAGCGTGGCCAACAAAGGACCACACGCAGGCCCGTCAGCCACAGTGTGGATGATGCCTGCTTCACAGGGGGAAAGCTTGGATGCTGAGTCCCGAAAAGTCAGCAGAAGCAAATTTCATTCATTCTTGGTTGTTCAGTCATTTGGCCAATAGTGACCGTGGGCAGGCACTCTGCTGGGGTGGGGGACACGGAGGTGACTGAGATGGGCACAGGAGCTGCCCTTACAAACCTTCAGTCGGCTGTGGTACACAGATCATCAAAGAAGCAACCAAGATATTGCTGGGTCAAATCAAAACCACAGTGAGATATCACTTCACACCCATCAGGACGGTTATTATCAAATAACAGAAAACAACAAGCGTTGGGTAAGATGTGGTGAAATTAGAAACTTTGTGTATTGCTGGTAGGAAGGCAAATGGTGCAGCCACTGGAGAAAACAGTATGGCAGTTCCTCAAAAAATTAAAAAATAGGGGCCAGCCCCGTGGCCGAGTGGTTAAGTTCGCGCGCTCCACTTCAGCAGCCCAGGGTTTCGCCGGTTTGGATCCTGGGCGCAGACATGGCATCGCTCATCAGGCCATGCTTAGGCAGCGTCCCACGTGGCACAACTAGAAGGAGTTGCACCTGGAATATACAACTATGTACTGGGGGGCTTTGGAGAGAGGAAGAAGGGAAAAAAAGATTGGCAACAGATGTTAGCTCAGGTGCCAACCTTTAAAAAAAATTAAAAAATAGAATTACCATATGATCCAGCATTTACACTTCTGGATATATACCCCAAAGAACTGAAAGCAAGGACATGAATAGATATTTGTACACGAGTAGTCATAGCAGGATTATTCACAATAGCCAGAAGGTGGAAA